ACGCTGATTTTCAGAGCCAGTATCTTCTGAAATGTAACAAGTGAGATGATACAGCCATGGTGTTGCTTGATAAAAAGAGTATGTGCATAGAAACAGAGACAGTGCTATAGCGGTGAAGTGACAGTAACAGACCATGTGGGAAGAGAACCCCTACTGCAGTGAGAAACTCGGTTAAAATTCAAATTTTCCTGGCTCGTATAGGTTAAAGCTGGATCTTTAACAATGTTTAAATGAACAAGTGTTCACGATGTAAACTCATGGATGTATGTTTCTGAGAAACATGGAATGCCCTCTTTGGAACAGTGACTACCAAGATGAAAGGTTGTAAGGAAGGGCTACAGAAAACAGTCCTGCAGCTGCGTTGAAACCACGCAGCACAATAGTCAAATGCAAGCCTTGCAGTCTTTCCTGAAAACCATTTATGGTTTCTACCCTCTGCTACATTGCAGTAACACATCTGCCTCACCAACAGCTGACAAGCCCAGGCCCTGAGCATCCCCAAATTAGCTGAGCCTTCAGCAGCAATAACGCTGTATCTGTTGCAAAAGTAAAACCTTGACCTTCCTGACAGCTCAGAAGCGATTGTTCTGCTCTTCCTCAGCAGAGCTTGTATTTTCACAGTGTGCAAGGGCAGCAATATCGATACAAGCCGTGTGAGAAGGAGGAGGTAAGAGAAGGAGCTCTCTGTGGGCTCTCGAGCTGTTGACTCCCACGGGAATATGTGACCGGGGCCGTGGCCACAGAGGTGGGAATCAAAACATCCATGCTGGAAGTGCCACTGTTTCCACTGCCTCTGGAATGGGAACATGTCTGCCCTGGATGCATCTGCTGGGATGTCAAGTTGGTGACAGCACGAGAGGGCAAGAATCAAAAAAAGAAATAAAAATGAAAATATGAGCCAGATTGGAGGCATTTCAGTGACAGTGGACACACCAAAGCTAGCAGTGGCTGGTGCCAGGCCATGAGGTGACCTTGGGAGCCCTGGGGCAGCAGTGGAGGGAACATCCAGTCCCTGGTGCCCTGGACACTACCAGCACCCCCTTCACTGGAGCTGCTCAGCTTGGAGAGACCTGAGAGCAGCCCCAGTACCTAAAGGGTCTAAAGAGAGATGGTGAGAGACTTTGTACCAGGGCAGGCAGTGCAGAACAAGGGAGAATGGCTTCAAACTGTAGCAGGTGAAGATTGGGAAGGAATCCCTGGCACAGGGTGCCCAGAGCAGCTGTGGCTGCCTCTGGATCCCTGTCAGTGCCCAAGGCCAGGCTGGACACTGGGGCTGGGAGCACCTGGACAGGGTTGGGATTTAGGGTCCCTCCTAACCCAAACCGCTCCATGAATCCCCTCAGCACTGGCACCCCACTCTCATCCCCAATACTCTTACTCTCACCCTGGTACCTCTATCCCCTCAGACCCAGACATCCTTTTCCCCTAATCCCAGGCACCTCTTCCCCCCAGCACCTCACCCCCAGCCCTACATCCTCACATGCCCTTTCTCCTCATCCGGGACCCTCCTTTCCCCTCAGCTCCATCCCACTCTTTCCTTTACCCCAGGTACCCCTTAATCCCTCACCCGGGCTCCCTTTCTCCTCATACTGAGAACTCCCTTTCCCTCATCCCGGCCATCCCTTGCCCCTCACCCCGGGCTCCGTTTCCCCTCATCCCCTCACCCCGGGCTCCCTTTCCCCTCATCCCCTCACCCCGTTCTCCCTTTCCCCCCCATCCCCTCACCCGGGCTCCCTTTCCCCTCAGTCTCTCACCCCGGGCTCCCTTTCTCCCCATCCCCTCTCCCCGGGCTCCCTTTCCCCTCAACCCGGGCTCCCTTTCCCCTCAGTCCCTCACCCCGTTCTCCCTTTCCCCCCATCCCCTCACCCCGGGCTCCCTTCTCCCCATCCCCTCACCCGGGCTCCCTTTCCCCCCCATCCCCTCACCCGGGCTCCCTTTCCCCTCAGTCTCTCACCCCGGGCTCCCTTTCCCCTCAGTCCCTCTCCCCGGGCTCCCTTTCCCCTCAACCCGGGCTCCCTTTCCCCTCAGTCCCTCACCCCGTTCTCCCTTTCCCCCCATCCCCTCACCCCGGGCTCCCTTCTCCCCATCCCCTCACCCGGGCTCCCTTTCCCCTCATCCCCTCACCCGGGCTCCCTTTCCCCTCATCCCCTCACCCTGTGCTCCCTTTCCCCCCCATCCCCTCACCCGGGCTCCCTTTCCCCTCAGTCCCTCACCCTATGCTCCCTTTCCCCTCAGTCCCTCTCCCCGGGCTCCCTTTCCCCTCAGTCCCTCTCCCCGGGCTCCCTTTCCCCTCAGTCCCTCTCCCCGGGCTCCCTTTCCCCTCAGTCCCTCACCCGTGCTCCCTTCTCCCCATCCCCTCACCCCGGGCTCCCTTTCCCCTCAGTCCCTCACCCCGTTCTCCCTTTCCCCTCATCCCCTCACCCCGGGCTCCCTTTCCCCTCATCCCCTCACCCGGGCTCCCTTTCCCCTCAGTCCCCCACCCTATGCTCCCTTCTCCCCATCCGCTGGCCCGGGCTCCCTTTCCCCTCAGTCCCTCACCCTATGCTCCCTTCTCCCCATCCCCTCACCCCGGGCTCCCTTTCCCCCCATCCCCTCACCCCGGGCTCCCTTCTCCCCTCAGTCCCTCACCCCGGGCTCCCTTTCCCCCATCCCCTCACCCTGTGCTCCCTTTCCCCCCATCCCCTCACCCCGGGCTCCCTTTCCCCTCATCCCCCCTCTCCCCGGGCTCCCTGTCCCCTCAGTCCCTCACCCTGTGCTCCCATCTCCCCATCCCCTCATCCCAGGCTCCCTTTCCCCTCATCCCCTCACCCCGGGCTCCCTTTCCCCTCATCCCCTCACCCGGGCTCCCTTACCCTCAGCCCCTCACCCCGGGCTCCCTTTCCCCTCAGTCCCCCACTCTATGCTCCCTTCTCCCCATCCCCTCACCCGGGCTCCCTTTCCCCTCAGTCCCTCACCCCGGGCTCCCTTTCCCCTCATCCCCTCACCCTGTGCTCCCTTTCCCCTCAGTCCCCCACCCCGGGCTCCCTTTCCCCTCATCCCCTCACCCGGGCTCCCTTTCCCCTCATCCCCTCACCCCGGGTTCCCTTCTCCCCTACCCCTGGCCCGGGCTCCCTTCTCCCCATCCCCTGGCCCGGCTCCCTTCCCCTCAGCCCGTCCCGCCTCCGCGGGAGGCCGGCGCCGTCCGGGCCGGTGCCGCCCATGGCCGAGCGGCGGCGGGCGGTGCGGCGGTGCCGCTCGGAGCTCGCCCATGGCCGTGTCCATGTGCCGGGCCGTGCTGCCGGCCCACGCCGGGCCCCGCGGGGAGCTGGGCGCGGGGCCGCTGCTGCGCTGGATGGACGCGGCCGCCTGCCTCGCAGGTACGGCCGGCGGGGCCCTGCTCGCCCGGGAGCGGGAGGGGACAGCCCTGGGGAGGCTTGGGGGAAGGTTCCACCCCGGGCTCGGGCTGTGGCAGCGGTCACAGGGTGGAAGGGGTCACAGTGGCCATCCTGTCCCGCCTCGGGGTCATCCCGGAGCGCTGGACACAGCATCGGGCCGACACTGCTGGGACGGGCCGGTGGGCTCCGCTCCTCACCCTCCGCGGGCAGTCTGTTCAGTGCTCACTGAAAATGTTGTTCATCATAGAACCACAGAATCCCCCGAGCTGGAAGGCACCCACAGGATCACCCAGTCCCACCCCTGCCCTGCACAGACCTCCTAAATCCCCGCTGTGCATCCCTGGAGCTCTGTCCAAACACTCCTGGAGCTCTGGCAGAGCCTGCTCAGTGCCCCACGACCCTCTGGGGGAAAAACCTTTCCCTCATCTCCAGCCTGACACAGCTCCATGTTCAGATGGAACTTCCAGGGCATCATTTTCTGCCTGGTGGGCACCACCAAGCAGAGCCTGATCCATGCTCTGACACCCTTTTTGGACATTTGTACACGTGCCCCTCTCACCCATCTCTTCCGAGGCTGAGCAGACCCAGCTCCTTCAGCCTTCCCTGGTGAGGAGGATGCTCCAATCCCCCAGTCATTCTGGTAGCCTGCACTGGGCCCACTCCAGGAGCTCCACGTCTCTCTCGAGGAGCCCAGGAGATTTGGGGTCCCGTAAGGAACAGACACCCCGAGGGTGAGGCGTCAGATGGCACAGGAGAGCGAGGATGGTGGTAGGAACGTGAGGACGAGGAGAATTTTAAAAAGGAGCAGCAGAAGTGAAGAAAAGAGGTGGTAAACGATAAGTAAGAGAAGGAAGAAAACTACTAATTTAAGATTAGTAATCTAGCAATGTGTGCCAAAAAGAAGGAAAGGTGCCACTGCCTTGGCAGGGGATTGGACTAAATGGTCTCCAGAGGACTCCTCCAGCCCTAACTATTCTGGGGTTCCGCGGTTCTGTGAAACAACCACAAACCCAGCCAGCGGGGTACCGGGGTACCGGGGTGCGGGGTGCGGGGTACCGGGGTGCGGGGTGCGGGGTACCGGGGTGCGGGGTGCCGGGGTGCGGGGTACCGGGGTACCGGGGTGCGGGGTACCGGGGTACGGGGTACCGGGGTGCGGGGTACCGGGGTACCGGGGTGCGGGGTACCGGGGTGCGGGGTACCGGGGTGCGGGGTACCGGGGTGCGGGGTGCCGGGGTGCGGGGTACCGGGGTGCGGGGTGAGGGGTGCGGGGTACGGGGTACCGGGGTGCGGGGTACCGGGGTACGGGGTACCGGGGTACCGGGGTACCGGGGTGCGGGGTACCGGGGTGCGGGGTGCCGGGGTGCGGGGTACCGGGGTGCGGGGTGAGGGGTGCGGGGTACGGGGTACCGGGGTGCGGGGTACCGGGGTACCGGGGTGCGGGGTACCGGGGTGCGGGTGCGGGGTGCGGGGTTGCGGGGTGCGGGGTACCGGGGTACCGAGGTGCGGGGTGCGAGGTGCGGGGTACCGGGGTGCGGGGTACCGGGGTGCGGGGTACCGGGGTGCGGGATGCGGGGTACCGGGGTGCGGGGTACCGGGGTGCCCGGCTGGCTGTCCCCAGCGCGGTGACCGCGCAGGCTGCAGCGCCGTGCCCCACCGGGCTCAGCACCGACAGCCAGGACCGCCAAAGCAGCGCCGGCTCCCCTAAAGGAGCACGCCTCTTCCTTCAGCTGTGTGAAGGAGTGATTCCATTTCAGCCTTTTTAACCCTCGGAAGAGACCTCTGAGGAGACACCGTGCTTTCCCCGCCTATTTTCAGAGAGAACTCTTCAGATTTTGAGATAAAACCTCTGTTTTCTCCGAGCTCCTCTTGTGATGCTCACTAAAAATACGGGGCTGCTTGGGAATGAGAGCTCTTCTTGCCTGTTGTGCAGTGCTATTTTCCAGGCTTCCTGCTGGTCCCCACTCTTGCCTCTGTCACTCAGGACTTTGGAGCAGAGATTCTCTTTTTCATACAGCTCCTGGTTCACTGCAGATCTACCTTTTGACTGGAAGCTCTAGGTGCTAAAGTCAAATAAATAATATATCGTATTAATTTGCTATAAAATAAATAATATATCCTAATAATTTGCTATAAAACTTAACTATGAGGTGATTAAATGTTAACATTAAATAAAATGTTTACCTTTTCCAGATTAGCTTTCATAATTAATACAAAAAGTGTGAGTTCTTTTTCACAGCCAAATGTATCCCAGGGAGATGACTAACGTTCAAATTTAGGTGAAAACATTTTACAGCAGGTGATTTCTGGTTTTGAATTTTCTAAATCTTCTTTGTGTTTGTTTTTATTTAATTCCTGCATTTTTGGTGCAGCTCTGAGGACATGTACTTAGCTGCTTTCCACTGTTGTGACTGCACTAATAAATTAAGATTTTTACCTACTAATAAGTAGGTTTTTCTCCTGTTCTCAGAATCCTCAGCTCACATAAAACTTCCCCACTGGATTGCCCTAGCTGATGCTCATGACATATTGTTTTGAGGGAGAATGATGAGCTTTCTATGAGCTTGGTAACACTTTGTGTCTCTTCCTGTCATTCAAAATGCTTGTTAAGGCTCTCTTACCAGAACGCTCATTTTTAGAAAAAGACCGTAGGTAGAGGTTTTCAAACTGAGTAAGGTAGTTGCTATCATCCAGTCTTGCCTCCTGATGTTACCCACAAAAACAAACACCCTTTACAACAGATTAATGATAAAACACGTAAAGTTTTACCTTATTTGCCACCTCATTTTTCCTAAGGGGCGCACTGCAGAGCTGCGTTACGGCGTGCATGGGAAGAAGCGGGATCTGCCTGCCAGGCAGCAGCGCACAGGGGAATAGCTCCCTGCAGGTGCAGAGTGCTAACTGTGTGCCCCTGTGTCTCTTTTGAAGCTGAGAAACATGCTGGGATGTCCTGCGTGACAGCGTCCATGGACGACATTCAGTTTGAAGAGGCTGCCAGGTACAGACCGGTACTGACAACAGTCAGGTGTTTTCGTTCTGCACATTCTTGTTTGGCAGAGATAAACCAAGGCATTATAAAGTGGGAGACAGCAGAGCTGTGAACTCACCACAGTCACAGGGCTAAGTCTCAAAACTGTTCTTTTCTACCTGTGCCCACCCAGAGAGCAGATCCATCTCACAGGGCAGAAATAAACTTTTGTTAACTTTACTTGACAGCTGGGTGAGAAACTGATGGCCCAATGGTCTCTGGCTCTAGGGAATGGCTGCAGGCCATTGCTTATCTCTGTTAAATAAGGAATATTACCAATAAAACTTACTGTTATCAGTGGTTTTATTGTGACAAGGTCTCTTTCAGTTCATTTCTTAATATCTTTTTCTTTCAACTACTTTAGAAGAAAGATAAATGGTTCACATTCACTGCGCACTGAATTAACTGAGTCTAAAAGATAACACAGGACTGAACTTGTTTTACCATTTTCCATGGTTTCCAGTGGGATAAAAGACACCATAAGAGGAAATTTGACTTTTATTCCTAAACCATACCTTTACAGAAACCTAAAGCCATTGCTTTGTGGGTTTTGTGTGGTTTTACAAGGATCAATCTGGGAATTAATGAGTGGTTAGATGGGATAGGCCTGGTTGCACGGAGCAGTGCACATGCAGTTGTGGCTGTGAACAAAGCAACACTGGCTGCCAGACATACAGCTGATGGCACTTAAAAACTGTTCATAAGTGTAAAATAAGCAGCCACTCAGACTTGAGGCTGTTAGAGCAGTGTCATTAGAGTAAGAACTAAAGCCAGTGACAAAGAAGAGAACATGACCATACCAAATCTGGAACTCAGGATTTCTTGGTGTGTTTCACAATATTGAAGTGTTTGTCCTGCCTTGATTTGCTCTGTGTTTTTAATTTTATTCTTAGGGGAAAAATCCTGTTTGTGAAAACTAATCAAAATCAGGGTAGTGTTTCCCTTTCAGGTGTAATAGTTCAGAGTCAGTAGCTTCAGAGCACTTTTCTGTCTTGTTTCTTGAGAATAGAGCTTCTGGAATACAAGAAAACATTTGTCCTTCCAAATTTATTTCCAAATATTTCTAGCTCTTCTCTGACTTGTAATACCAATGTTCCATTTGTAACAAGAATTTCAGGAAGAAATCTTTTAACTGTGAAAAAAAATTATTTAAGAAAATATTTTTCTCTGCCAGGTCATCCCTAATATCTTTCTTCTGGCTTACTGTGCAATTCCTAAATTTTGCCACATCTAGTTCATTACACAAACATCTTGCATAAATGAAAGAGTTCTTGCTTCTCTCTCTGGTAAATTAATAAGATGTTTTTTAAGTAAGTGGCTTACTGTAATGTTTATTTACCTAAACCAGGTTACTAAATCTTCTGCAGGGATTAAGTCTTTTGTGCTTATTTCAGCTGAGGTGTAAACAGAAATTGTCACAAATCTATGTAGTTCAAAACTTAGCTTTATACCATGATAACATCTTCCTTTTCTTGTAATACACAGCAGCTCAGTGGTACTGATTTTCAATTACATCTGATTTAAAATTGCATTTATTTGTATTTTGTTAGTGTTCCGTATGCGAGCGATAGTCAGTCCATTCTGGGAAGTTTCTGACAGTTTTAAGTGGAAGTGTGCTGCTGTGTGACTTCTGCCCCTCCATATCTGTAGCTCTGAGCACTCTCCTTTCTGGGAGGGAGCTGGTGGCTCTCTTTGCTGCGCAGTTGGGAACAGTTGCCTTAACAGTTCTGCTTTTTCTTTACAACGAATAATGCAAAAACTGCTTCTGAGCATCTTCTGCAGAAGCTGTTGAGGGCTGTGCACCTGCAGATGGTCTTAGTTCTTTGCACTGAGCATTTCCCCACCCAAAGGATTCCACTGGTGTTCTTGGGTAAGAACAAGAAAGAGAAAATGCTGAGCAGTTTGTTGTTCCTGTCAGGTCCTCTGGAGGAGCAGGCTTCCTATTTCCTATTTCCCATTTCCCATTATTCTTCTTCTGCAATGGAATACACAATTTTAGTAAGCCTTTACCTTTAAATGTCCCAACTTCATTCATTTAAATTAGGAAGCAACTATTATTATTATTATTTTAAATAAACTGGGGTAATAACTGTGCAAAATCCTTTGCAGTGAATGTTTTGTCAGTACCCAAGTGCTCTGAGTTATATTTTACTTCAGTCCTGGCTGTAATTAGCTCCACTTTTCCTGCCCCAGGGCTGCTCTTTAGCATTTGTGACTCAGTTTGAATTCCCTGGAGGCAGTGGCCTGACACCCTTCTGCTTTGGCTGTGGCTCTGGCTTACCCTGCACTCTGTGTCCTTTCACTTGCTGCTCAATGGGAGGAAAATTGAGGGCAAACTGCCTTCCTTCCACCCCCTCAGCACTGCTTGGGGCTGGGATTTTAGGGGTTTGGAACAAGGTTTGCTCCTGTTATCAGCATGGAGCAGGTGCTTTAGGAAGTCTGGAAGGAAAGAAAATATTTCCTCATTTAAATTTGTTTTGATGACATAGTAAGGAAAATCTAAAAGGTAATAAATAACAAAATAAATAATATAATAAAGATTTAAAATATATCTAAAATAATACATGATATAATAAAATCACGCTAGATAATAATCTAGTAATATAGACTCTCTACAATTTTTACTATATAATAAAGTAAAAATTCTGCTTAGATGTTTTTTGCAGGTAAATGAGGAAGAGTGGTTTTCAGAGGGATGATGTTAGCACAGAAGGGACCAACAGTCCTGTTCTTGGCCAAGACTTGGAACATGAACTCTTTCCCCATCCTTTAAAGATGTCCAAGATATAGATATATTTTAAATTTCCCCTGGGGTTATCTCCTCATGTGCACATACCTGTGTGCCAGAGGTGCTTGCAGAGTTTATCTGAGCGCTCCTGCAGCTAGCTGTGCTCAGTGCTTTGGTGCTGGATGTGCTTTTGAGCAAAAGCCAAAATTTCTGGGTGTACCTGGAGCACACCTGCCATCAAGCAGACACCAGCAGAGAGAAGGAATGTTGCCATTAAGGTTGTGCAGAACTCCGAGTGGCTGTAATTTTATTGACCAATTCTGACTGGTGAATAACAGTGTTGAATTGAAAACAGTGAAAAAAAATCACTTTTTTTCAGTGGATTTTCAGTGCAGTGTAGAAGACACAGACTGCTTAATGAGATGTTCCTCACTACTTTTAGGAGTATACAGGGAGGCAGATTCAAGCCCTTATAAAGCTGCTATAAGGTCTTACTCTTCTTAACAGGGTTGGACAAATTATTGCCATCAGAACAAAGGTGAACAGAGCATTCAAAACCAGCATGGAGGTAAGAGATCATCTCTCTTTTCTCTGAAGATGTTGAAGGAATAGAGCAGAGGTGAGAGCAGTAGAGGAACACAGCGTGGGTCCAGGTTTGTCTGTTCCAGATATTTGCAGATATCTGGACAATGACACTGCCTAATGGCACTGCTTTCAGGGTGTTAAAGTTGTGTGTTTCCTGTAAAATAATCCATGTCAGGGTAGCAACTGGGACTTAAAGCCTTTGGCAGGTATGGTGGGCAGGGTGGGATTGGTCCAGATCCACAGAACAGGTGGAGCTCAAAGCATTTTTGAAACTTCTGGTACAAATGTACATATCTCAGGTGTACAGTGCTCTTAATCTTCGTACTGCAGCCAGTATGCAATGCCTTGCCCAGTCACTTTAAATCAGAACTGAACTTTGGGGGTGCTCTTTTTACATTGTGCCTGTGTCCAGTTCCCATTATTGTTAATGGGAGTGATGCATTTCACAGGTAATGTATTCCAAAAGTTTTTAAAAGTTAGAAAAAATTAGAATTTTGATGTGTGTCAGGCCTATGCCACACGATCAAATCCAGTGTTTCACATTCCAGTGTTTCATTGTGCTTTGCACCCCTAAACACACTTTTTTTGCATGTACAGATCTTAGAAACTGATTTAGTTGGTGACTCCAAATGCCACAGAAGAAAGTGGAAGGAAATATCCATATAATTACATTAAGAGTCTTGCCTGTTTTTTGTAATTTTACCTCACAAATGATGCTAAACAAACAAAAAACTTTTAGAGCTGACTTAATTTTGTGATGACCACAGATGTACCAGTGATTAGAACAGTTTTTTTACCTTTTCCCTTTAGCTGTAAGGGACTGATAAAAACTGCACTGTATTGTCTCAAATCAATTGACAATGATGTAAATACCCTTTTTGTCTCCTTCCTCCACCACCTTCTTCCTTGTAGGTTGGCATCAAGGTGACAGTACAGGATGTTTTGACTAATGCTGAAAAGATTGTGAGTGTGGCATATGCAACATATGTGGCCAAACCAGTTGGTGGTGGAAAGGTATTTTTCCTGTTTTCTCCTAAGCTTGGAGTGACTTAAGTTTCTGTGAAATAACCCAACTTTTCTGGTTGTGAGGCAGAGCAGAAACACTGTTTATTCTGATCAGTGATAGGAAAATTGCATGAAGTCCAAACTTCATAAGGTAGAGTTTGGGGGTTTATTTCTAATTCGCTTCTCTGAAATGGTTAGGTTGTTGTTGTTGTTATTATTGTTTCCATTGTCTTTTGCAAACTTGTTCACTATAGAAGTGAGGTCTTTGTGAGGGCTACAGTAATGACTGAAGCAAGCAGTGGAAGGGAGATCCTTGTGAGTCTCTTTCCTTTTCAAAAGTTGATTGCAGGGTGGGCTTTTTTATCCTTCACTTCCCCTCTTGGGGAGGTTGTTCAGACATCACTGTTTGGACAAAAGACATTATTTTTAAGCTCACTTCCAACCTAAATTGGTTCTTTGCTATTTCTGTCGATTAGTTTTCACACCAGGGCTGTTTCTTCTCCCCAGTGTTTGGCTCCCTGGAGGTGTTTGGAAATCAGTCATGGTACCATTGTCCTTCACAACACTGTGCCAGACAGGCACAGTCCTTTTAGAGTTTCCTTGTGAGGAAGGCCAAACATTCCTCAGAGTCTCTTAATAAACTCCCTTTGCATGTGAAATTTGACTTCCTTGAATGTGATGCCATGGATCTGACTTTCCTGTCTCACTGCATGAGTTAGGACAGCACATCTGGCTGTTAAACATCCACTGGAGACTGGCAGAGTCATCCCATGAGCAATTAACACATCCAGTCACTACTGCTCTCTCTTCTGAGGATGTGGCACAGTTTGGAGAAAAACAGACTGGAGCAGTTTTACTAAAACTAAAGCCCAGCTCTTGTCTCTGAAGGGCTAATGGCTAAATTGCTACCCTGATAGCACTAAAATATTATCAAGAATAGTTTGTTATTAGTTTGATCTCATACTCATAACACAAACCTGTTTACCTTTTGCACAAATTTCTGGGGAGATTAATTCAGGATTAAATTGCTGATGATTAACTAAGATTAGGCTTAAGACAGGAATGTCCCAGAGGGAGTTTGAGAGTTCAGTTCAAATTCCATCACAAACTAAAGTCTCAGAGACACTGAAGAGTATTTTTTCCAAATCCACTTTTCTGAACACCCGTTTCTAAAGTTGTACAGAGACAATCTCAACATACCTACCATCTTAATTTTTTAACTGGGCTGCCTGGGAAAATCTAGAAAGCTCTTGAAAAGGACTGGAAGGAGGCAATGAATCTGCAAGAGGGTTAGAGGGAAGAGTCAAAGGATGAGAAACATTCGTGGCAGCACTGCAAGACACAAAATGTTGAATTTATCTATGGTGCACTGCTTTGTGCATTATTTTAGAAGGCCAGGCCTTCTAGACAAATCTCACAAGTGATTGTTCAGTGTCACCTCTGGTGTAATTATCCAAATGTAGTAAGTTTCTTCAGCCAGTACAAGTTTGGATGCTGTTTGTCATTGAACTGACATACACAGGAATTTGCACTGACACCACTGACCACTGCACCTGAATTTTTTCTGGTTCAAAAATTCAAAAATTTTATCCTCATGAAAATTCTATCATCATTTTCATATTAAGTTTATATTTTTCTGTCTTTTTTTTTTTTTTTTTTTTAATGAGAACTGTCTTAAATACTGTGTGCTCTCATGGGTGTTTGTATTTAGAAGCAAAAAGCACTTTGGCATTGAGTTTTAATGAATGATTCTGAAAGAATAATGCAGAATCTCTTTATACTCTGTGCTAGTTGTATTATTAAACTTGTCATCTTGGGCAGCTGATAGGAAAAAGCTGTAGAAAATGCTGATGCCATTTCAAGTTCAAAGTGTGCTTTGTTACGATTGTGAAATTCAGAACAGTTGTGGCTTTTTCCTCTCCTTTTGCACAGGTTGAGTTAAAACCTGTACAGCTTCTGTCTGCAGAAGACCACCTGGAGCACAGCCTGGCTATTGAGAGGAGAAGAATCCGTCTGGGCTATGTCCAGGTCTTTCAGAAGCTGATGCAGGAGAGCAACAAGGAAGGTGATTTCTGTATGCAGCACAGAAGGTGGAACAAACACTTATGGGCAGCTGGAAGGAAGGAAAACAGCAGGCAAAACATCTCCTTGGGGTTGTGGTGCCAGGTAGAAAAGTCTGTGCCAGATTTGTGGCTAGAGGTCCAGCGGTTGGTTAGGCAGTTATTCTAATAGCGTGGTATTTCTTTGTCTCTCAGAAATTCCAGATGTAAAAACACAGGGCTGCAGGCCAGGTGTGCATTGAGTAGATGTGAAATGCAGATCTTCACGTGGTTCTGTGTGTGAGGTTCCTCAGCTCACACAGAACTCAGCAATAAGCACAGCAATAAACTTCTGTGACACCCCTTGTGATGCAGACAGAAGCGTGATATTCACTCAGGTGTGTGGCCGTGTCTTTGCCAGAAAGCAAAGTAAGAACTGTGTTTATGTCCCGAGATGATTCCCAACAAGCAGAAGTTTCATTACATGAAGGTCAAAAGAGGTAGAAAAGTTAGAAAAACTAAACAAAGAAACAGGTTCTTTTTTATTTACGGTAGTAATTTCTGTTCGTAAAGAAAGTTGTTGTCTTCCCCCACAAAAGAAATTACTCAGAGCAGTTAAGAAAATCTGCTGGTATTTGGAAAATCTGAGCTGCCATGTATAAATAACAGGCATTATGTTGTTTTACTGAGGAGAGATTAAACCTGTTATAAACAAAGATCTAGCCTTAACAATTTAGTAAGACTTCATAGAACTGAAGAGTCTTGCTTGGTACGAGAAAATAAGCTATTTGTCTTCATGGTAACTGTCTCACAGGGCACAGTTTAGTAACCTGAGTGACAAATCAGAGGTCGATGGGTTTTGTCCCCACTGCCTTTCCTGGAAACTTCTTTGAAGGATGTTATTGTAGCACTAATTCACCTCCTTAAGGAGACAGAAAAAGCAGAGTGCGAGAAGAGAGGAAAGAACATTGTGTGTAAAGGCTGCTAGGTAGCAACCTCATAGCCTGGAAGTGAGGTTTATTTGACAAGTGGATCTTAGGGAACACCTTGAGTAGGTCCAAATTGCAAGTTAGTCATATGTTTCCACTTACATAATCACAAAGTTAGCTAATTATGGCACAAGTCAAAAGTACTATTCAGGTCAAGCAGCTCCTAGCACAGATAGGCACTTTTAAAATTACCTGATGTAATCTCATGCCTAAATCTTTTCCTGCAAAATGCCACCAAAAATAATTGAGATTAGAGTGAGGATGCATGGCTACACCTGAAAGTGACATCAGAAATGCTCAGGTAATACAAGGTGGTTCAGATGCTCACTTCAGTCCTTTCACCCGCGTGTTGTCTCAGGCAATCACATGATTTGCAACAAGGTGAAATAATCGTGTCCTGCTCTAATCTTAATTAAACATACCTGTACAGGTGCCCATTACACACAGTGCAGAGTCTTTGGCAGACGTCCGAGGCGGTGCTGAACTGCTCTGACAGCCCTTGAAAGGCCCTGCTGGGGTCCTGAACAGCTCAGCACACACTGGGGTTTCAGCTGCTGCTCCCTCAGCTGGGAGAGGAACTGCCCCTGACACAGAACTGCCCCTGACACAGAACTGCCCCTGACACGGAACTGCCCCTGACAGATGGACACAGAACTGCCCCTGACACAGAACTGCCCCTGACACAGAACTGCCCCTGACAGAGAACTGCCCCTGACAGATGGACACAGAACTGCCCCTGACAGATGGACACAGAACTGACCCTGACACAGAACTGACCCTGACACAGGGACACAGAACTGCCCCTGACACAGAACTGCCCCTGACAGATGGACACAGAGCTGCCCCTGACACAGAACTGCCCCTGACACAGGGACACAGAACTGCCCCTGACACAGAACTGCCCCTGACACAGAACTGCCCCTGACAGATGGACACAGAACTGCCCCTGACACAGAACTGCCCCTGACACAGGGACACAGAACTGCCCCTGACAGATGGACACAGAACTGCCCCTGACACAGAACTGCCCCTGACACAGAACTGCCCCTGACACAGGGACACAGAACTGCCCCTGACACAGAACTGCCCCTGACAGATGGACACAGAAATTCTCCTGACACAGAACTGCCCCTGACACAGGGACACAGAACTGCCCCTGACACAGAACTGCCCCTGACAGATGGACACAGAACTGCCCCTGACAGATGGACACAGAACTGCCCCTGACACAGAACTGACCCGACACAGGGACACAGAACTGCCCCTGACACAGAACTGCCCCTGACAGATGGACACAGAACTGCCCCTGACACAGAACTGCCCCTGACACAGAACTGCCCCTGACACAGGGACACAGAACTGCCCCGACACAGAACTGCCCCTGACACAGGGACACAGAACTGCCCCGACACAGGGACACAGAACTGCCCCTGACACAGGGATGTGGGCATGCACTGAGGGCTGGCAGCAGCAGCTCCTGGGAGAACAGAGCAAATGTTCAGCTTCTTGTTGCTTCCCTTGCAAACCACAAGGCTCTGCTGTGCCTTTCTGGTTTTATTTTCACTGAATCTGAATCAAACTTCTCTCTTCACCAGGTGTGCTTTCTTCTGAAAGTGTTCACTGATGCGCTGCTGCTGTGTTTCAGATAGTTTTGAAGACAAAGATGCAGTTTCAACTGAGCATACTCACGTACAGAGCACTGAGCTTGTCCTGCCTCCTCATGCAAACCATCATGGAAACACTTTCGGTGGCCAGATCATGGCTTGGATGCAGACAGTGGCAAGCATTTCAGCAAGGTACTTTCGTACAGCATCGTCTGTGCATGTGGGTCTAAGTGGATGTGCTTTTAATGTTAAAGATTTCACGGGGATTTATTTTATGAAGAATACAGACCCAGGCCTTTGTGATTTGTTTCCTTCTCACATTACAGGAGGCTTTTGAACTATTTAAGTGGTACATCTCCCACAGCTTGCCATGGCACCGAGACTCACATTATTGTGTTACACATACAGAGCCTAAGGCAAAAGAGGCTGTGTTACCTTCCTGGGAATCTCTGCAGGAAGATAACATTGGACACAGGAGCAGAAACCTGCCCTCCTTTGCTTGGTGCAGAGTTTTAGAAACAAAGTTAGTTGTTTAATCAGGGTAAAACCAATACTCGCCCTGTATCAAGTGACATCCAAAAATGAACAGCCCGCTAGAACTTAGTCTGCAAATCCTCATGATGCCAGAAGACAAATAAGTCAGAGAAAAAGGATCCACAAAAACAGGCTCTGTTTTGTTGGTGTGCACACAGAATGGATGCATAACCCTCAGCAAGTCACTTGACCTTTCAGTCCCTCTGAGCTGCACATCCTATGGCTTGCAACAAGTTTAGCAGTTTAAAGAGCTGTGACATCTTCAGGTGAAAAGAACGGAGCATGTTTTGTGACAATGCTTGTCAGTGTGACCCAGGCACATAATCACTTAATTCCTCTTCCCTGGAGTCAAACCGTTGTTTGTCTCCCTTCCTGTTCCTGGACGCTGCACAAAAGCTCCTTTGTAAGCAGTACTCAAGTTTCAGTCTGAATTCTCCTTGCATACCGAGTGACCTAATTCACTGCAGGGACGTTAGCTATGTTTTCCCTTTTTATCTTTAATAATTAAATGGCTTCTCCATTCATTATTCATATGGTTTTGATTTGTAGCCAGTGGTTGTACTGATAACAACAGATTTTCTGTAGTGGTTGGATAAACAACTTGTTTTAGTAACAACAGAGTGCACTGACCTTACCCCCAAATGCAGTTCCAGTGGCTTGAAGGGACTACTGCAGATTTTCCCTATAATATGACTCAGAATATTTACCTGTTTTCATCTGATAAATATTACCGTGTGGGAGTCACATTTAGATTTAAAAAAAAGGAAGGGAGACATCAGCAAATGGAGTACCGGACAAATTTTCTTCCAACTAATTAATGTCAAACATGATTACTCATGTTAAAATTTCAGGAATAATAGCTGGTGTCAGAGGCTGGCTGAAAGCAGAGATGATGTAGATTTTGCTTGAGAAGTAACTACTTTCACTATGAACCTTCCTTTAAAGGTTACTCACTCTCCTTCTCACCTCCCCACCACCTGTCTTTGGTCAATACATGAAAATCTTGCAGATAGCAATAAAACCATTTGAATATTAGTAATATTAGCTTGAACTTGATGGATACTTCCTTATTCTTTACATTTGCAATAGAAGCATTCAGGGTGTGCTTCTGCAGGAAAGAAATGAATATTTAAGTCTGATTTCTGGTTTGTTCCTCTCCTCATCATTATTGTGTTTGCATCTTTAGAGTGAACATTGTAAATAAAATCAACACTTAGCATTTAAAATCAGAGGAGCAAATTATTTTAATTTAATTACAAAGTAATTCAAATGTATTAGACTATTGAAGAGATGTCCCAGTCAGTTAATTAGCTGCAGATAATTGTGTGCATTTAACAATCCCGGTACATTAGTTTTCAAAGTGCAGCTGAGTTAAAAGCTAGAAGTGCTACAAAACTGTGTTTTCATTTAGAAAACTTCACCATGGAACAATCTATCCTAGATGTGCACATGGGCTCCTTACTGAGAGCAGTGAGTCGCCTCAGAGGCTAAAAATAAATGTCATATGTTGTATTTTGTCCCCCCGTCCTGTGATGCACAGACATCACAGTAGAAAGTGAGGGGCTTTGACTACATGCAGAACTGGTGAAGAAAACTGATTTTTTGCCTGCTCCAGAGAGCTTGGAAATGAGATTCTGTTCACACAGACTGCATCTGATAACCATGTGAGAGTTTTTTTATTCTCATTTCATATCACACTAGCAGAAAGCATCTAAAAATGAGCAAAAAGTACAAATATTAAGACTAGATAAATTGACATAGCATTGCTTGGACACTGTCCCTGGTGCTCAGGCTTTCTGCTCAGGTTTCCTTTAATTGTTTAAAGGCTTTAAGGGCTGGCATTTTTACACTGCTCGGGAGCCTGCTCCCCGTGCAGCCCTACAGAAATTAATGGAACTGTGAGGTAAGTGGTTACTCTGTAGGTAAGGGCTTCATGGTCTGGCTTAAGGGAGGGCAGTCTCAAGCAGTGAGAATTAATTGGTGTTTGTAAAAGGTGCTGGAAATTAAACAGCACGACATAAGCGGCGTTGTGATGGTTGAAGTTACAAGCTCTTGGAGCTGAACAGGCTGGCATGGAGTAGATCAGTGTGATTTAGTGACCTTCCAGATCCTGCAAACGCTGTTTCTGTAGTGAGCACCACTGTGGGTTTTGGTCTGTCTCTCTGGCTTTCTGTTTCAGCCGCCTGTGCCGTTCACACCCCATCTTGAAGGCAGTTAACATGTTCAAATTCTGGGGGCCATCCTTCGTGGGTGACCGCCTCGTCTTCAATGCCATTGTCAACAACACTTTTCACAACAGGTAAAACTCCTCATCTCCAGCACCAGCCTACTCTCTGTGTTTCAGGTCTCATCAGTAGGGTTTTCATTAGTGAATTAATTATTTTTTAGGTGTGACTTTGAAGTATGTATCTATATGTGCCCTTTTTTTTTTGTTGTTGTTGTTTCACTTTTATCATTGGAAGTTTAAAAAAAATTATTCCCTGACTTTTTAGTTGAAAGATCGCTTGTCACCAAATCCCACTCCTGCAAATGCAGACAATAAATATTCCTCTGAAATTCCGGGTTTTTCAAGGGCTGAGTTGCTCCCAGGGATGTGATTCTTCAGAAGATGCCAGCTTCTTGCCAGGATCTTCCCATCTTGGCATTTGTTGACAGACTGGGTTCTATTTACTGCTTATTTTTGTTAGTGCTATTTAGCTGCTGCCGTAGTTTATTTTGTTTCAGAAACGTGTCCTTCCAGATTGAGTAATTGATTTGCTGTGCTACAGAAGGTATTTGAGTCACACCTGGAGGTACTGCAGTCCTTTCCAGCATGTCTCAGGGCTGCTTCTGCATCACTTGCAGCAGCTCAGTGATTCAGGTAAACTTCCCTTCCAGTGTGGAGGTTGGTGTCCGTGTGGAGGCTTACAACTGCGAGGAGTGGATCAAGGACCAGCCGCGGCACATTAACAGTGCATTCCTCATTTTTAATGCTTTGAATGACAAAGGAGAGCTGCTCACCTTCCCCAGGGTCAAGCCCACTGCTCAGGTGAGCTCTCAGGTGGTCGGCACAGCCTTCCTGGGGAAGCAAGGACCAAGCAGGGCACTGCAGTGCATCCTCTTGTGGGAGAGAAAAGCTCCAAATGAAATGTTTGCCCTCGAGTGAGAGGTTTGTTGTTGTTAGCTTCACTCTTCTGTGAGAAATGCATATTTTATGATTGGCTTTTCACAAATATTAAATGGAATACTATATGTATTGTGTTATATTGATTAAAAGTGCTGTATTAACATTTTAATAGTATGGTAAATGTAGTTCTGTAGTTAAAATAGAAACTCTGTATGTGGGTTTTTTTTTTAAAGAAATGAGAGACTCACTTCGAGATAACAGTCACAGAACCCCTAAATCTTCCAGAGAAGAGAAATTTATGGTTTTCTTGTCAGAAGAAGCTCATTTCTTCAGGCCTTGCTCAGCCTCGAAGACACCGTGGGGATTGAAAGAAGGAGTTGGCATACTCCAGAGAGAGTGTCGTATTTTAAATAGAATGTATGCATAACCATGAAGTATGTATGAATATGCAACAGTGTTTGGTTTTTAAGGGTGATTCCTTTGTTCACAAAACATGCTTGTCAGGGCTTAAGTGCCCGGGAGCATCCGGACATCTGGAATTCTTTGTTCTTTATTGCCTTGTAATTGTCCTAACAGCTCTACATTTTTATTACTCTAATTGTATTACTATTTCTATAACCATTTTAATATTATTAAACTTTTAAAAATTCCAGAAACAAATGATAGGCATTTTCACATCTTCCAAAAGTGAGAGGCTCAGTGGAGGATCCTCATGACTATAGATTCTATGGTTGATGGGCAGAGAGGAAGAATCTGATGTGTTTGGAGATTTTTCCACTTGTCTATGCCTTGTGCAAGTTCCACTGGCTGTAGATGAAATTTATAAGTATTCAGGGAATAGTTATTTTTGTAAACCCTTAACAAAAAGGAGAAATAGAGTGAATAAAGAAGTCTGCAGGAATCAAATCCCATGACGTGGGTGGGCTTTTCAGTTCCTTTGACATGGAGATCTCAGTTCATGTTTCCCTGAAAGTGGTTCATGAAGCACTTGAAGCAGTTTGAATGCTATTGTTGAATTATTTGCTGTGGTGACACCTATCACTAATCTTCCTGCTTCAGTTACAAGAATTTCAGAGAGCCAGTGTAGGCAGAAATTAAATTATTTTTTAACATTAGAGACCTTATTTCTTATAGGATGGGAACTAGACAAATGAATCAAGGTGTCTTATGTACTCACTGGGGTAGTAAGTTTCACTACTATCCATTGCAGGCTGTCCCAAGAGGAGAAACTGACTTTGGAAAATACAATTTTTCCTTTTTACTTTGAACACCAGATGATGATAAATTGGGTTAATTGTTTATTTGGTGGGTGGCACATTTAGAAAGAGCAGAATGTGTGTGGTGCACTGGCCAGCTGCCACTGCTTTAGGACCACAGAGTACCAGGAGGATGCCACAATGGTACAACTCTTCTATCACACTGGGTTTTTTTTTCAAATTTCAGAGAATATTGCTAAGGCAAAAAATAAACCACCAGTTTACTTGGGTTAGCTTGTGGAAAGGCCATTACACAATTACTCTTTATTTGCTTGTATTACTGCTCTGGCATTTGCCCATCCGTAGTAAATAATTTTTAGTTGTCTTTTTTTCAGGCTTTGTTCTAAAATAATGAGATGTGTTGCTCTCTGTTTCACTTTTCATGCAGGATGGTGTGAGGAGGTACCACGGAGCTATTGCCAGGAGGAGGATTCGACTCACCAGGTATAGCTGGGTCACTGGCAGGTCTTGATCTTGAAAACTTGATTTCATAATCCTCTAAATAAACTGAACTCTCCTTAAAATATGTACGACTGTTATATGGTTACACTTACAAATAATTTTGTTTCAGTGGCACTGAAATTATTAAAGGCTACTTGTCTCAAAATCAGTTCGCTCTGGAGGTTATTATGTTTCACTGTCCTTCTTGGAAAGAAAAAGCAGTTATTGCAAACCAAAAATTGATAAAGTAGCTGTATTTAGAAGACACTTAAGCCTATAGAAAGTGATTTTTCCTAGCATACACAAGAGGTGTAAAGAACCAATTTATGCTACTATGTCTCTTTTTAATTATGTTTTAGAAAATGCATGCTATCTGCTAAAGGAGACAAGCCTTCTGATGCCTGGGAGACAAGCAACCAGGTAATCTGTAGGTGCTTAAAAAGCTGTGTTTGTGCACCTTTTGGGGTGTGTGAGGCAGCTGTTCAGGCTGTGGCAGTACAGGTGGACCCTCTGAAGTGCTGTGGACTCGTGAGAAACGGGTGGATGTGTAACACAGTGACATTTCTCTTCTAAAATGAGACAGTAGATGATTCACTACTGATGCAAGAGCAAGTGCAATAGAAAGGATTAAAAATTGTCTTTAAAACAGACAAGTGGTCCCTTGAGGTCTCCTGTAGATTTATCCCTCAGTGTCCCCAGCTGTTAAAAAAACTGAATTATCCTATAGAGGAAGTAGTTTGGGGTTTTGGGTTTTGTTTTTATCCAGCCATGGAATGTCTGAAAAATTGCAGTTTAGTAAGTGCTAAAGGTGGGGGGAGAGATAGCAACAGAGAGATGAACACTGGAATAGCATAAATCTGTGGAATGAGCAGTGAAATCATGTTCATTCCCAGATTTCCTGCGCTGAGTGTCTCTGGTCTGGACATGCCCGTGTCGTGCAGTGAATGGTGTTGAACCTGAATTTAGGTGGATTTATAGATAAGCTAAATGTTGTTTCAGTGTCCAGTTTCTGTGGCTAAAGCAGCTTTTTTTTTTTTTTTTTTCTGCAAAACAACTAATATAAATATGAACACAATGATGCAAAAGGCTTGCTTAAGATTTATTTCCTATGAAATCAAAACCTGTCAGTAAAGACTCTAAGGCTGTATTCTCTTTATAGAGTGGTTAAATGAGAACTCCATCCATTGTAGCCAAGCATAAAGAATGGATATATTTGCATTTTCTTTGCTTGTGAGCCTGCTGTGTAAAGCAATTGCTGAGATGGACCCAGCTTGGTAGCAAAGAAGAGGTTAATATTCGAGTAGATTGTAATTACTTAAGAGGAAGATGGACAAAACCATTAATTCAGTGGTCTGAGAGGTTATCTGTATTGTCTCCCTGGTGGTCAAAGTTGTTCTTCACAGCTTTATAACTGGAGAAGCTGAAAATAATGTTTTATTGTCCTTTAATTAAGATTGTTTTGCCAACAGCCATGTGAGTGTATCGGGAAGCCACTGGAAGTGTTTTAATTCAGAAACTACTGAAGTGTGTTTTCACTTACAAGGAAAATAAACATTTGTTTGCAGTTGAAGCATAATGATGGAAAAAACCCAAATCACCTAATTTCTGCAATGTTCAGTGAAATGTACCTTTACCCCTCCATTTTCAGACTCGTGTCTTGTGTTTCAGGCTTATTTGAGTTACAGTAACATAGCTGCACTGACACGCCTGGCAGGAAAACCAGGGTGGGACATAACCAAGACTCTGGATAATGTAAGTGCAGAAAAGAAATTACAGAAACCTGAGAGCAAAGCACACCCTTGTTTGTGAAGTGGTGTTATAAACCCAAAATCAGTGAGGACACTTGTGTAAACTAGTTCTAGCAGAGGAAGATGCTGCTGGGAAAAGCAGAAGGAAGTCAAGGGAAACCCTGGTGTTAACCCTGTTGCAGTGCATGTTTTCCAGAAAACGGAGAGACATCTGGCATCTGCCGTGGCTGGGTTTCTGAAATGTGGCTAGTGATTGGCAGTTTACTTCAAGATTGTGTAGATCCAGAGCTGCTTTGGCACAATAAAACAAAATACTACTTTTGCAGTATTCTAGTCTGTAACTATGTATGAAACATTGCTTAGTGACTCTTCCATGTAGACAGTAACATACTTGAGTAAGAGCAGATACAAATCATGAGGAATTCCAGTGATGGCAGAACTGCCAGTGCCATGTGTGGGTTGTTCCAGTGGTCAAATATTTCAGCAAACACTGCTGTGCCAAATAAACAGCAGACAACACTGGTGCTGGGGAAAGCAAGCTTGGACCAGCTTGTGGAGACAAATAGAGATAACAACTGGGGTTATCCCTCCTGGGGACGGGAAGGCTTTGGGGAGACCTTGAAGGACCTCCCGGTACCTCAGGGGGCTTACAAGAACTCTGGAGAGGGACAGCACAAGGGGAATGACCCTAAAATGCCGAGGATTTGTTCCCTTTTCCCTGCAATGACCCCAAGCTGACTGACAGTTTTTGAAGGTAAAAAATGGCACTGTGGTGCCTTTGACACAACCACAAAACCTGTAAAGCTTTAGAGATAATCCCGCCTTGCCAGTGTTCACTTAGCAGAGGGGTGTTTTGACAGCTGCACCTCCTGCTTTGTTTTGTGATTTCTCAAGTCTACAGAACTCACAAACATGATTTCAGTTCTGTGCTGTAGAGGAATATTGATGCAGACCTCCTGTAGACAGTTTTTAAAGCTCTTAAGCGTTTAATTTTACACCAAACTTTACTTCAGCAAAGTGCTTGGTGGATTATGTTGGGGTTTATTTCCTCATCCAAGATAGGACAATCCAGAGAAACACAAAATCTATGTTGTTGCAGAAATGCAGCATTACTGAAAGATTGCTCATTTTTGATGCAGAAAAAAACCCCAAAAAACCCAATAAAACCTCAGCAGTGATGATGAACCATATGAATTTTACATTGGAAATTAAATTCTGTTAAACTTCTCAGGATTTAAGAAGCAATAAAGCACATGAATTTGGAAATAAAATCCCCTAATTCTGAGCATTCTGTTGTACCCGTTCTCTTCCAGTATATGGGGTTTGTGAGAGGTGCCAAACCCTTCTTTTGTGTGTTCATTGTTATGTACAGGTTATTCCTTTGAATTCTCTGTGCTGGGGTTTAGGCCTGTGAGTAGAAATAGACCCAAAATAATCAAGGCAAGATAGTACAGATGTGGGACAAGAGATGCAAAACTGTGATTTTTAAGTAGTTATTCAGAGTATCACTAGTTCTGGGTGCTCTGCTTCACAGAAGAGAAAAATAAGGACATTTTGGAAAGGAAAGTGCTGGGTTGGTCTAGGGGCAGGAGGGCTGATTTACCTGGACAGAGGCATGTGGCATTTCCCAGGAACTCCTGATAAAATCTGCTTAAAGTCCGAAATGTGTAACATTTATGCATCTAAACGCTTACAATAATCATTCTTTGTTTCTAACAGATGCTGGCTTTTTGTTGTTTCTATTTTTTTTTTTCCAGGTGAAAATCTGGACCCACGAGGAGGGTGCTGTGCTGTCATTCAAGGTGGAGATGCAGGTGAAGGTGTCAGCCCACGTGGCCTTTTCCCTCCTGTCCGACTTCAGGCTCCGCCAGCGCTGGGACAGACATTTCCTGTGAGCCCCTGAGCCCTCCTGTGAGACCCTGCCCCGTTGGGAACAAAGTGTTGTAGGAGTCTGACATCACACATTCATCACTCAAAGAATGGGTTTTGGTTTTTTTTTACTACTGAAGAAGTAAAATTTGGTTTGTGCTGAATCTGGTTCCAACACACAGAGTGCTCTGTCAAAAGAGAGAGACAGGACAGAGGTTATCCTTCTCTCAAATGAACACAGTCCAGCCAGTCCTACACAGGTGTATGTTAAAAGTGACAAAACCCAAAACAAGTGAAAAAAGAAGTTAAAAGTAAGAACTGAGGTGGATATATTGTGTGTGCTAGTGTGGGAATCCAGGGCTTCCCTCTGGCTGCCCTGGCAGGTCTGGGACCCTGGCAGGGGTCAGGAACTTCCCTGGACAGAGCCCCCAGAGACACTGGCTGTGATCTCTGTCCATGGAAAAGAGTTTTCAATCTTACAGGATGAATTACCAGCTCTGAGGGTTTGATATGAGTAATAATTAAGTGTGGCACGGGTGCAAAAGTAAAATTTTAGGATTCTAGATGAGGGGTTCAAAGGGGATAAGATGGAGGAAATTGGGTGTGCCTTGTCCTTTTTCTCCTCCTTCGTGCCCTCCATGTTTCACTGTGGTGTTGGCATTTTTCTGTTGGTTCAGGCTGGGGACACACTGTCCAACGTAGGTGACAGATATTGGCACGTTATTGTAAATCCAGCACAGGTAGTTTGTGGTATTTAATGTTTGTACCATCCCACTGAGGGCAGAGCCCCACACGCTGCCCTGCAGGACAGAGCTGCGGCAGGGCAGCAGAACATGTTAGAGATAAACAGAATAAACAACCTTGAAACAGCACAGACCAATTATGGCTTCTGCTTTGGCAGCGGGGCTGACAGACAGAGACTTTCTACAATCTGGGAATCACCAATACCTGCAGATTCCAAGATTCTAGCTTTAAAAATTAAGGAAAAACTGAATTAATTAATGTTTGTTCATTCATTCATTCATGTTGTGCTGAGTTGTGCTGATGCTCAATTTCACTGTACACTCAAAGTGAGAAATCAAGAAATGGGGTCCTTCAAAATGCATATTTCCAGTAAAATGACATGTTTGGAAGTCTGTATGATTTGAAACAGGTTTTGGAATGGCTCTAAAAGGTGTTTGTGGTTTTTAAATTTACCTTTTATGGTGTAGAATAATGATTGGAGACAGTTAAATTGAAATTATACTAATTTGATTTGGTGAAGCATTTTCAGTTAATTATTCCATCCTGAAAGATTTTTATCAGAGGCTGGAAGTGGAACCTTAGGGGTATTTAAAAATCTACAAACTCTACTGAATTTACAACTTGTAACAAATGAAACCTAAAGAAACACTGCTGATGAGGTGTTGCAGAAAACCTAAATGTTTCACTCTCTCTGCCTTGCTGCTGGAACATGAAAACCAAAGTCCCAGGGTCAGGATGGAGCTCATTTGCACTGAGGTTGAGAGGGGCTGCTGCTGCACACACCAGGCCCTGAGGTGTGTGCTAAATGTCTTCACCAATCACTTGTTTTTCAAAGTCTTAAAAGTTCATTAGTAATAAAATAGTTATTAAAAAATAGTAATGAATTTAGAGTAATAAAAATTTGGACAATGAGGATTAGGACACTACAAGAGATTAAAAAGCAAAGAATTGCTTATTTCCAGATGTTTTTGGGCACTGAGCTGCCAAAAGCATGCCTTGTGAGCAAAGGAATAACTGTAAAAGCAACAGCCTGTTGTATATTTATATATTCATATATCTGATACATGGTGCATAAATTCCTTGCAAATTAAGAATTTTTCTTAATTTTTCTTAATTTCTTAATTTTTCTTCCCCTTAATCCTGGTGGTTCCATAAAGACAGAGAGAAGGTGGAAGGATGTTTGTCTGTTCTGATAAGGAGGCTGTAACTCTTCAGGTTTTGTGTCGCTGTTGTATCTGTGCAAAGAGTTTCTTGTTTATCTTATCCTTTTCTTGAGCTAGTAAAAAATATCCTACATCACAGAGTTTCTGTTTTAACATTATGTTGTAACCTAAAACTATATTTAACACACTACTTAGGAGAATTAATACAGCATAACTTTCCAACTTTACACATACAATATTCATTTTAATATTTGCAAAAAGCCAATCATAGAATGTTCATTTTTCACACAGGACGTGCGAGGTCCTGCAGGCTGTGAGTGAAGAGGAGAAGATCTACCACGTTACCTCTGCCCCCATGACAGGCCACCAGCCCAGAGACTTTGTGATCCTGGTGTCCCAAAGGCAGCCCTGCAGGCCGCAGTGAGTATGGATCTGATTTTCACTCAGCACAGCCTGGAGTCCGTCACCTTGATCTGTGACAAAGATGGCATTTGACTTTCTAAGCTGTGAGATTCCTTTGCTGATGCCTGAGTTTGTACAACCAGATTTGCTTTGCAATGCGAAGGTGCAGAGAAATAAATCCAGATCATAACAACTTTTTAGCATAGTCCAGTCTTGGTTCTTTGGTAGTGACTCTATGGGAATGGTCTGCCAGGAGGGCAAATAGGCCAGAATTCCAAATGGGCAAATGGGGGAAAAAAAAATCATGTCCCAGAGAGCTTGTCAGTGGGCTGAAGCATCTACCTGGCAGTTTGTTTTCTGTTTGTTTGAAGTGACTTTGTATTCCCTTTCCATGTAATTACAGAGTTTTCACTCAGCTAAGGAAGTTCTTGAAACCTCATACATTTATTCTATTTGTAAATTCTGCCAAGTCCCTTGCTCAAGTTTAACATACCTTGCTTTTTGAAGTTTTATTTCTTTTTTTTATTAGATCTCCTTTTGTTTTTACATAGTGAAACATGGACAGATGGAACCTTTTGGTGTATCTCATCCTTCTCTACTCTGTTTCTTTTTTCACATTCGGCAATTCTTCAGGTTAGCACTAAAAAGCAGTATTCTGTACTGTGCTTTCCCCTCCATGAGGGGATTGAATGAGTTTGGATACCTTGGCTCTGGCCGCATTGGGTAAGGGTTGTTCCCTGGTGCAATAAACGTGGGCTGAGGAGAGCAGGCTAAATGACAAAGAAAAGGTGGGGAAGTGTTCCCTGGCTGCCACAGAGGTGTCCTGGACTGGGGTGTGTGCTGAAGCCTCACTGGGGCTCAGCAGGGCCCTGGCTTTGGACCAGGATTGTTGAAAACACCGGAGTCCTCCGTCCTCCTGTGACAATGACGTGCTGTGGTCACTGCCGTGAAGGTTTTCAACAGGAGGAAGGGTGTGATGCTTGTCCCTGCCCTGCAGGGAGCCCTACACACAGGAGAAGGGTGTGATGCTTGTCCCTGCCCTGCAGGGAGCCCTACACACAGGAGAAGGGTGTGATGCTTGTCCCTGCCCTGCAGGGAGCCCTACACACAGGAGAAGGGTGTGATGCTTGTCCCTGCCCTGCAGGGAGCCCTACACGGTGGCCGTGAGGTCGGTGACGCTCAGGGCGGTGCCCCCGAGGCCGGAGTTCTGCAGGAGTGAAATCCTCTGTGCTGGGTTCCAGATCCACAGCGACAGCAGCAGCTCCTGCACTGTGAGTACCCCGCAGGGCCGAGCTGTGCCCTGCCCTGTGCCCCTGCCCTGGGGAAACCTCACCTGAGCTGACAGTCTGCAGAGGGAACAGCAGAATATGTCCAAAAAAGGAGTTCAGTCTGGGTGTGTGGAGTCTGTCGTGCCCAACTTTGGCTAACCTGTTAGAAACGAGCTCTAACTGAGCACTGGAGGCTGCCCTGCCCCTCCAGAGCAATTCACTGACTCCTAAAACACACCTCCAGAGGATGTGCGTTACACTGGTCTCTGGTGGTGTGTCTTTATTTCCACTGACTACAAAGGCCAAGGAAATAGTTCAAATTAAATTCCTCGCTTGAACTTTCATATCCCAGGAATCACAAAATCTGATTCCCATCTCTGGAGCCATGCCAATCTTCTTAAAACTTTCCCATTTAAGAAAACACATTTCTGAAAACTTTGAGCAGCTCTTGCTGGTTGCAGCAGCTTTTTTCAGGCAGCAGCTTTGTTCACAAAACATTGAACACGTTATGCACAAGTGTTTCTAGCTGCACTGCTCTGTACATTTACCTGCAGATGCTGGAAGGTCTGAGAGCAGCGAGGATACCCAGATCACTGAGTGCTGTAAAAAAGGCATGCTTTTTGCAAATTATTGCCTTCAGTTTCAGAAGCACTGTGTGCTTCTATTCATATCCATAAAAGCTGTGGTAGTAATCCAGGCTCTGCAAAAAAAATTACTAACTTGCAATCCATAGGCTTTTCTGTTTCATTTACTTTTGTTCAAACAGGTGTGTTACTTCAATCAAGTGACATCAGGAGTTATGCCTTACTTAGCTGCAAATCTTACTGGCTCATCAAAATCCATTGAAGACACTGCTTTGGAGTGCATAAAGTTCTTGGAGCTGGAAGACAGCAAGTGCTGAAGTTAAAAACAGATTTCTGAAGGGACATCTGAAGATTATCAAGCAGTTCTGGTTGAAATTCCTGCAAGGGTGTCAATCATTCTTCTGTAGGTGACTTGCTTCAGATCATGTAGTCAGTATTGGGCTTCAGCCTGAAAATACCTGGTACAAGCATTTTCTATCAAACCAAGCTTAGGCCTTAGGCTCTAAATTCAATCTTTAATTTAAAAAAGATTAAGGAACAGATTCTGCTTTTGATTGCATTAATGAATTTTATATAAATGGAGGCAGCACTTGGCTCAGTAGAGCTGTAGTTCATAAGAGCATTTCACTATTTTAATGTTACATTAAACAGAGTGGCACCCAGGCTGTTTTAAAATACCATCCCTTGTAATCTGCAGAAACCAGTGCTACCAAGTAGCTTTGCCTGTGCTCTGACCTGGCTGTGCAGGTCCTTGCACACCATTATTTATAAACTTAGTGACTATGTAAATTAGTGTTTGCTGATGTCTGTACTTTAGTACTTGTCGATTTATGTGTGACTCCCAATAAATTATTGTTTCTGAGGTTACAGATTTCATCCCAGTATTGGGGGTTGCAGAAGGCTGCCCTGCATTGCTGGTGGGTTCTGCAGGAGAGCCCTGAGCTCCAGCCTGTGCCAGCTGTGCCAGGCTGGGGAAACACCCAGCAGCAACCCCTGTGTGTCCAGTCCTCCCTAGCAAACACGGCTGTGCTGAGCTATAGCTTTAGGTTATAACTTAATGTTAAAATAGAAACTCTGTGGTGTAAGATGTTTTTTTACTAGCTCTGCCTTGTGTGCTGCTCTGTTCAGAGCTGCAAGTGTGTCACCAGCATTTGGATCCTGGCGAGGATTTGGATCCTGCAGCCAGCCCAGAGCCTGCTAAGGGGATTTACAGAGCCCACCAGCAGTTTGCAGGTGAGAAGCGTGGCAGGGCTGTGTTATAAATGAAAATTTGTCCAGCCAAATTAATATGAAAAATAAAATATTTATTTTACAATCAAATTTTATCTAGCCAGCCACAAGGAAAGAACAGAGCCGAGCCCGGGGTCGGCCCTGGGTGTGCAACAAGGAGTCAGCCTCAGCAGAGGTTTTCCTCCATGCCCACACACTTCCATCCTGGCACAAGCGGTTTTTATAGGGAAAATTCCGCCTGAGGCCAAGATTTCAGCAATCAGTCTTTTCTTCTATTCAGAGTCCATATGTTAATAAGATTTTATTTTTTGGTGATGAGGGAGAACAAATCACTGTCTGGAGTTTGTTGAATCCTTTGATGAAATTTACGGGAACGCTGTATTCACGCCTCAGGATTTCCATGATATCCATCTCGGGTCGTTCACGCTAACGATCAGCACCTGGGGTTTCTGTATCTCCCCAGCCATGGCCCATCTCCTGGCCAGCTGCACCTTCTTACTTGTAAATCAGTTTCCAATCTACACCCGGTCTCACCTGCGCCTGTGAGGGTGGGGGGAAATCCAAATACAAACATGTATACTCTAACAAATATTCAATATCACATATAACATATTAGAAATGGCGCAAATTATATCTACTACACATAAGTGTCACCTCTGCGGTGTCCCCTGCCCTGTGCTCAGTTTGGGCACAGCTCTGCCTGCTGAGCCACGCCGCCGGGCTGTGTGCTTCACTGGAACACAGAGACAGCCCTGGAGTCCCAGCGCTGGTGAAGAGAGACCCCTAATGCTGGCTCTGCACACAGCCAGCCCAGAACTGTCAGTTTATGGCTTTACCTTTTGCAGGTGCTGTCCAAAGCAGCCACACAGGTCTGTGCAACAGCAGTGGGTGCACCTAACAGAGGTTTTGTCCAGCAGGTACAGCTCGGATTGCCCCGCAGGAGCTGCACAACCACTGCCTGCCTGGCACCACCAGCACCACGGCCCCAGGGCTGCAAGAGCACATTACAAAGCCAAGGAGCTGGGAAATTATATAAAAAGGTGCTTTTTAAACAATATACTTAATTCATACAATAGAAAGGGAAATGCTTCTTAAGCTGGGATAAATGTCTGTTGCCAAAATGTCCACATGAAACAGATAGCTTTGAGCTGTTATCCAATAGTTAATTAAAACTCCATAATTAATCCTTGGTTTAATTCACATCCTCTTCACACTCCTCTTTCCCATTTAAAAATGTGCTCTGATTAATACTACCTGAACATACACCCCCTATCTCAAGTCTCTACAGCAGCACCAAGACATCTAAAACAGGACGTCTAACCACTGTATTCTTTAGCAACATTTTATTTAAAGTAATTGCCTGTACAAATATAAAATATCTCCACACAATTTAATCCCCCATATTTGTTTTTGGCTGCAAAAGAAGTATGTGAGGGGAGGTCAGGGATGCACTTCTCCAGTAATACTGGCAGATGGAGGAACTCTGGAGTTGGTTTATTAATTTTTCTGTTTAATATCCACCAGTTGTTTTGGTTTTTTTACAAAGAAAATTTAATTTTTTTAACAAAGAAGATTTACTCCCAGCTCACCAAGGCACAGAAACACTGCAGATTTTTGAGCATTTTCTTTGAAAAAAAAAGTAAATAAACCAAGAAAGCTTCTCACTTGCTCTCCAATTCCTTAGGGGTGTGTTTCAGCACAGGTTTCAGAGGAAAGGCTGGATTCTGTAAGTGAACACACTGAAATAACCCAGTGTGTATGCCCAACCAGGTTAATGGCTGACAGTAACAACTACAACCATCAGGAGCTGCACCCCGAGCTCGGCAGCCCACAGGGCTGACCTGCACCTTCACCACCAGACTGCTCAAGCTGGAACACATGGAGGAATAAGTTCATTATTCCTAAAAGGAAAAAGCAAAACCAAACCGGAATCCAACAAGAACCTTTAGAAAACACCCACAACTCCTTTAATAAAACAGCCACTTGCTGTGCTCCTGTAGTTGCCAGCTTTACAGCGAGCCAGGCAGGTTTGGGGGGCAAACTGGGAAAACTAGGGGAGACAGAAAACCAACAGTTCCTCTGCAGCTTGCTCCATTTCCCGGATCCATGCTCTGTGGTCAGCAGTGGAGTGGGGCAGTGCAGAAGTGTTTGGGAGGCAGGAGCTTTCAGAAAGTGACGACCTTGGGTGGCTTGGGCTGCGCTCTCTGCGGCGCCGGCGCGGCCGCGACGTCCTCGTGGTCCGCGCTCAGGCCGGGGGTCCAGCGCCCGACGGTCACCTGCTCTGGGGGACACAGCGCAGCGGTGCCAGGCCAGCCCTGCCACGCTGTCCTAGGGTACTGTATAAAGATGTATTCTATCCCATCCGTTTTTTTTCCTTATCTCCTGTTAATGCACCCATCCATGTCCTGGTGCCTCAGAGCTAACTCCCTCCAGGAGCCATTTCTGTTTAATGCGCAATCCAGGATCCACCCACGACTCAGAATGATACCAGCCCGTTGTGAGATGAGCTAAGCATCCCCACCTGGATAGAATCTAGGTTTTGGGACACAGCAGTCAGTTCTTTGAAACGTAAACTTTAAGGCATTTAGAGATTTTGAAGAGCTAAGAGAAATAAGTCTTACTAGAGTTAATTAAAAAAAGAATAATAAATGAGTAGGCCTTGATGAAGTTAGGAGTTAGTAGTTAACTAATAATTAATTGCTTGTCAGCACAATGTTTACTTAGCTGGGTTTATAATGAAGAATATAGAAACTGATAAATAGCTTTTAGAACATAAGACAATTGTGGGCCTCCTCTGTTCTGAAACCAATTGAAGACAAGGAATGGGAGTTCTACCAAGAGTTCATTTGTCATACTTGCATTGAAAAGGTAGAAAGGTCAGAATGAGGAAGAATTCATTTATTTCCTCATTTTGGGACCCCTCCCCATGAAAGGGACACCGACCCATTTCAAGGGACAAACTACGCATGCTTAATAGCTTTTGGAGTGATTAGCATACGAAGCGGGGAATGGGATGTACCAAAATTATGAATATGTATTTGTATTTTGTGTATTCAATACTTGTATGGATAAAAAGACTCTGTAATCACCTGGAAGGGGCGGTGTGTATTTGGGAGCGATCCCGCACGCTGCCCGGCGTCGAATAAACACACACTTTCTAACTTTAAACTGTTAGAGAGTTTTTGTCCGTCACAGTTGGATATCGATACTAGATCAATATCCATATTTTTTTAATAAATCATCTTTCCACTGGACTCCCAGAGGAATGGCCACCCTTACCCACTGGTTTGCAGAGGACAAGAGCTACGAGACTGTTTCTACAGGATCACACTTCAACAAGACCATTTCATCTGGACTGCTACCACCACCCTAACTAGCAGGGTGCCAGGTTGTATTCTGACTCTGTCAGTGGTTTTTCTTTTGTATTATTGGATGTATTTTGGGTTTTTTCCCCCCCTTTTCCTAATAAAGTGTGTTTCTGACTTGGAGTCTCTCACTGGTTTTGCTCTCAAACCAGAACACACAGGAACCCACATCAGCCTCTGGACACCGAGGCTGCCCCGGTCTGCCTGAGGACACTGGAAGCTGTAGCGCCTGAACTCCTTTGGCTGCTCTCTCACCTGTCTTTCTGTACCTGAACATACTCTGCACAATGCTCACTCGATCTCTAACAATATCACAATTCTTGCCAGTGGTGACACAGTTCCAATTAACTGAAATGCTTCCAACCAGCAGTGCTAGTTTTGAAAGCAGTCCCTTGGGAAAATAAACAGCACTTACAGTCCTCATTATGGAAGTTAAACTTGCCAGAAAAAGATAGAAAAAAAATCTACTTACAGGCTTCTAAAACACCAGCCACTCAAGTGGGCATAGCCTTGCTATTGGGGAAATTTCAGAGTCTTTTGGTGTCATAAACTTCTGTCATACCAATTCAGACTGAATCTGACCCATTCTAAACTGGCAAAGCAGTACCTAGAATCCTACATATGGTCTCAGACTTAAAAATATCATATATAGAAAATGCCACAAATATTTCTTACATAAATTTCACTAAAGTGGCTTATTATTAAGTGGCACATTAACTAAGTGTTACAGAAAAAAAGTAGAAAAATGCCAAGTGTGTCACCACTCCAGTAACAGGATCATTCTTCAAACCCTTTTCTGATGCTTTGCCTCCTGTAGCACAGGGGGGGTTTGGGGTATCTAAATTAATTTTTCTACCCACATGGAAAGCTGAGGAACACGCAAGGAAACAGCTCCTGAGCTGTGAATCCAACTGGACACATCTTCTTTGTCCCTGTCCTGGCTGCCTGACACACCACCACCCTGCACTGGCACTGGGTTCAGATCCTGAACCACACTGAAATCTGCAAAAAGCAGCAGCCAGTTCTGCTGTACAGCTGCCAGACTGTCAACAGCAGCACAAATACTGGCCAAAAAGAGAAAAAAACCTGATTATTTTATATGACCCTCAGATATACACAAGATGAATTTACTTTAAAAACCAAAAATTATCTTAGTTTTGCAGTGCAACTTAGTGCCTCCTCCACACCCTCCCTGAGTGTCCCAGTGAAAGGTCACCTCTGCTGCTTCCAAGCTCTCTGCCCACAGCCTTTTCCCTGACCAGAGCAGTAGCT